GGTAGTAGAGAGTAAGAGCGCCAGTAATATTATTGAAGAGGACAGCAGCCAGTAGGGATACTAGATATAGTTAAACTAAGTAGAGTAGGTACAACACTTAAAGAGGCTAGACTAAGTATAGCTGCTAAATAAGATATAGTTACCTAGCTACCGCGAGCGGGCATTGCGTAATATATATTAGGCAGCAGAGATAGTAATTTAGAAGGCGCAGTAGGTGTCTTACTTAAGTATAGTAGGCATACCGGCTATAATATACGTTAACCAGCGTAAGTATAGAATAAGTAGTAATAAAAAGCCGTTTAACGCGAGCCAGACGGAGCTAATAATAAAGAAGTACTATATAGTATAGCTCTAGATTATTATATATATCTAGCAGACGTACGAGCTACTTATAGCACCGTCTAACTTAAGTAATAAAGTATAGAGTAGACAGCTAGCATACTACTTAATTTATAAGTAGGAGGCATGCTTAGAGAAGATAAAGGAGATTACTAGATACGACTAAGAAGCGGAAGAGAAAGAGAAGAAGAAGAAGGAAGCTACTTACTTAGATAGGAACATAGATAATAGTAACTATAACAGCGAGGGGGATAAGCTAAACGAAGAGCAAGCTGTGGTACTATAGAATTAAGTACTTTAGTTTATGCTTACGCTACTTAATTACAGGCTAGTAAGTAGCGAGTACGAGAGTAGTGTTATGGGCGGAGAGGCCTAGCGAACGAGTATGCTTCTACCTATCGTACAGAAGCTAAAAGATAAGAAAAAGAGAAGATAACTAAGTACAGACTTCTCTTATACCTGCTCGCTTCTGATCACGTGTCCGTACAGAAGGTATATCACGTGGTCGAAGATCACGTGATCCTCTTCAGTAGAGATCACGGGCGCAGCCCTTTACAATACTCCCCTCCTCCACTCGTACGGACATGTTTGCGTTTGTTTGTTTTCCTAGGAGCACACGGCTGCCTAACTTGCGGTGGAGCAGCGGCGTTTGTTTGCTCTAGTGAAGGAGGATTTCCACGAGAGCAAACGCTCCCTCCGTACGATATGTAGAGCTGCCGTCTCTCTCCTTCAGCTTTTTCTTCCTTTGTGTTAAATCAATTTGACTCCACTACTACACAGATTTCTTCTTTTCTTTCTGACCACACTCGTACGATGCCGCCGAAAGCGCAACCACCCCCTCGCGGTGTTTGGGCCAACGCAAACACCAACAGTTTGCAGTTTTGCACTGACGGTGCCCCAATGACACTATTAACAACGTGCTAACCAAATCTTCGACGCTGCCCACCAGGCTCTGACTCGTACGACGCTAG